TATTAACCACGCCTACCCAATATTATAGTTTAGCAAAAAAAATTTTTTTTTTCAATAGCTTTATAAGACTGCAAAAGGTATATAATTTTTCAAATTTGGAATTCATCTAAGCATGTCCGTCCGTTCGTCTGTACATCTGCCTATTTGCGCAACTGTCTAGTGTTTGTGGTAAACTTCCTCCCATTAGCGAAAATGAATGGATATCCCCTACAAACTTGCAAAAGAATTTCAAAGTGAGTTGAACTTTGCCAAGGACACGCCTACAACGCCCAAACGACAAAAACTTTTATTTTGAAAGCGGAAAAAATCAGCTGCACCCACCCCGTATTATAGAGCATGCAAATTTAGTTTTTTTTACTTTTTTGTCCTTTTTAGGGTAACAGGCGATGGGTACAAAAGATTCGGTCAAGACCGAATATCATTTTCTTACTTCTTTTTTTTTTTTTGTTTTCTAGGCAAACTCGTGTTAAAAATAAGCTTAAAAGAAAAGACTTCGCGTAACACGTAGTAAATCAGGAAAAGGACGCTGCTCTCTTTAGTGCACTGTGCTCGTATCCCTACTCTTATTATATAAATATATATGTACAGCAATAATGCAAACTATTAGGCGCTTGCACGTATTTCTATCATTTGTTTACTTGGAAAAAGCGTTTATTCACAAAAACTGGTACGACATGCGTTAATTAAAATATTTTCCATCATTTTCTACAACTTTTACCCATATTTTTCGCAACAAGGCGGTACAGTGCCGAAAGAATAGTATCCGTTTGGCAGAGATTCTAATTATCGACCCATCTTTGCGCTTCTTCAACATTTCGAAACCGCACTTTGAACAAGCTGTAATTGGAAGTGCCTATGTCTGGTGAGTAAGTTGGGAACAGCCGAACAGCCAGTTCGAGCTGCAATGACAAATGAGCTGTGCTTGACAACTTTTGCGACGTGTGGCCGATCGTTGTTATGAAAGAGAACGGCTTAACAGCTATGGTTCATACATCGTTCAATTTGTTCAGTTGACGTCGGCAGACATATGCAGTAGCAGTTGCATTCGGCTTTAGCAGCTTATAATATACAACACCTTGCTGATCCCACCATACACACAGCAAAACTTTATGAAAATTAACATTCCGCTTCGGTGTGGGCGTGAATAACTTCACCGGACTAATCCATGACATTTTATGATTGGGATTTGCCGTAGTAGATCCACTTTTTATCGCCAGTCACACTGCACCAAAGAAAACTTTTCTCTTTTTGTGTTTGACAAGCAATGCAACTGTGTTCTGGAAAGGGTTGCATTTTCAGCCAATTCGTGGATATTTTCCCTCCTTTTGCATCTTTCCCAAGGCAACTGCTAAGCTGTTTGAAAGTTCTTTGAGAGTTTGAGCTGGATTTTCGTCTTCGAACTCTTTTGTTGACATTGACATCAAAATCGCCAATTGGGATATGATGCAGTAGCACCACCATAAGCTCCTAAAAGTGTTCGGTGGGTAACGGATTTCGTCAATTCAAACAACAAAAGTAAGGAATGTCGAAAATGTGATTTGGAATATTTTGTGATTAGCGTCTGTATACACTGACAAACTCACTAACAATAAATGGAAAACCGTTATGTTATATAGGGAAAGGACAAAATCATCATGTTGCGTACATTGATATTTCGCATTACTTTATCATTTTCACCAATAGATGTCGCTGATCAAAATACATGCAAGTACCTATTATAGCTTTTAGTTCGCATCCCAAGACAGCTCAGACAGACCGTTAGGGTATTTGCCAGCAAGTAAAACAAAAACTAAATAACTCATGGGCCGACGCTCTTTTCTTCTTCTCTTTAAATTTTAACTAAACAGATGATTAGGCGATGAGTATTTTAAGTGAAGCATTTTGTGATTGCAGATGATCGAAATCATTCTTGAAAAGAGCTTTCATATGACGTTAATGGACGTGTATTTTGCATTGAAACCGTTAAAGAATAGCATTGCATGTGCAAATTTGCAAACGAATTTAGGAGAAACTGCACGAATCGTATTAATCGCAATTCCGCATTAATAGCCGAATACGTAATAATCGCGACTACCAAGTCTGTGTTCGCGGTCGAGTTTCCTTTGACCGCAGTTATAGTCGTTGCTAAGTCGGTAAAGGCTTAACGTTTCACCGACTTTGCTTTCCTCACTTCTTTCCGGCCGTCACCATACTACACGAATAAGGGATATCGCTTGAATGATTGATCATATAAAAAAAAAGAAAGCAAATTCGAAGACGACGATGGACGGACACCGTATTATGTTTATGCTTGGTAGAGGGAAACAAATATGATACAAAAGGAGACTAAAAGAAAATACTACCTTCTCTTAGAAGAAACGAAATAACTGAAGCACATAAGTACGCAGACTTTTTTGCTTTATGGAAGACGATCTACGGGATAAGTCATTCAGTCTCTGTCTCTCTTTTGAAAGTTTTGAAGCTGTTCGTAATTATCGACCCTTTGAAGCCTTATTTTTTTTTTTTTCATGTAATTTTGCCAAAGTATGCTAAATATGGATAAAAATGCAACAAAAATGGTCGATCACTATTTTAATAAACGCACAACGAAAATCGGAAAAGCATTTGGATCATTGTGAATAGTATTACACTCTACATTGCGCCGGTTGAATAATGTATGGTATCGAGTTAGGTGAGGTATTTTTTGCATATCTTTGATAAGCCCAAGGTTTTCATTGCTATCTCGATATCTCTAACGTATGCTCTGTTCAACGATTGTCTACCAAGAGCATCATACGCAACCGGTTTTTTTGCGTTAAGACCGGTAAATGGTATTATCACTCTCTCTTCGCAATAATGAACTGTACTGAGCGCTATTGGTATTGAAATTGATAATAATTTCTTTCTATTGGTTTCACGAAAGACAAAAATTGTAACAAATTCGGCATCTGGTCGCTGCTTGTGAAGAGCATTTTTACGGCGAAACACTTGGCATCATCTGTTGTTAGAATGTTTGCGAAATAGATTAGCATATCCCGACCAATTGCATCTCTACAAAGGTGATTAAACAAGCAATTATTAGGCTGTCCCATAAGGTTCTTCGTTTTTTTTTTATGCGAGTTCAATAGACGATGCTTGTTGTTTAAAGTCGATTTACAATATTATATATGAACCTTTCTGCTCTAGTAACTTCTTCCATCGCTCAGGTAGCCTCATTACGTCTTCTTTCCAAAATAGTTGAGAGTTACTTGCAAAATATTCATCGAGATGCGTTTTTCTTTCGTTTTCAAATTTGTGACACTTATCACGAAGGGAGTTTTTCGACGAAAGAAAAAAGTAACAATCAACTGAGGTAAGTACTGAGGCGGAGTATAAGGCAGAACGTTCCAATCAAACTGTAACAGTTTCCGTCTTACGATCAACACAAGATGCGGTCTTGCGTTTTCGTGATGAAAGACAACACCTTCTCGGTTTCCCAATTCTGGCCGCTTCCGTCATCTTGCAACTTAATATTGCCAACTCTGAATTTCTTAACCCAATAGCAGACGGCTCAGACTAACGTGTCTTACCACTCCCAAAAAATCCCGTCTGCAGTGTCCTTTGCACTACTATCTTCTTTAAAGCAAGGAAGCATAACATGCCGCAAATGCTTTTCTTGGCTATCCATAGTGAACAGCGTACGAAAAGATTTAAAAACAGAATTTGTTACCAGCGAAACATACTTTCAAAGAGCTGCGAGACGACTGAAATCAATGCCATAAACGAACAATAGATAAGCCTGCATGTTTTGCAAACGTCACCGGCTCGAGATTATACATAACATAGCGGGAAAAAGTTATCGGACACGCCAAAGTATTTGATTTTAGACGCAGAAAAAGATCGCATTTCGGCTTTTATTATTTCCTCCATGCCATTAATGTTTTATTCGGGCAACGTAGTTTTCAGGTCTTCACAATTTATCTGAGGCGGTATAAGAAATATGATAAAGCACACAAAAAGTATGCAGTGATGGTTCAGTGGTTAGAATCGCTGATAATCTTGACTTAATACGTAGTCCTGCGAAAACTGCGAAGTGGAAAAGTTTTTCAATTGACGCTACGAACGCTTACTGCGTTAAACTGCTTGTTACGTCAAATAAACCCCTCTTCGAGTCTCTCGAGAGTTCTATGAGTTGAGTGCCCTGACCAAGGCATGTCAAGGACATTAAAATAGAACAAAACAACGATTTCACTCTCCGGGAAATTATCTAATACGAAAGAAATAGAATTGGAAACCATAGCAAAGACGTTCAAATACTACATTTTTCGACTTTGATCTACAACAAACGAATAACAAACGACACTTAAAGGTACTGGAGACAGGTGTCTCTAGTTACTGCTGCTTAACTTTTGCAGCTTAACCCAACGATGCCCAATAATGCAAGGAATGAGAAAACGCCCCGTGAATGATTACTTTCCGAGTTGTGGGTAGAAATTCTTATATGGACGCCCTTCTCCTCCACTTCTCTAGTAAACGAAGCCCATCTGAACTTCTGCCATTATTTGAGCCACCGCACCCGATTGCAAACGAGCTCTTTCCGCGGTGCGGTTTATTTACACACACCACGAACCTGTCACAGTAGACCATCTCTGCTGCCACATCGAAGCTGAAAATAGCTCCAATTAGGAGCTTCCAACTTTTGATACTCATGACACGAGAAAGAAGGAAGAACAAAATAGAAAAAGTAAGACATGAAATTCTCTTAATGGACTTTCCATATCCTTTGACTTGAAAACTCGGTTATGGGATAGAAAATCTGCGCTTGAATCCGCAGAATATAGAACTAGTTTATATTATTCTCATGGACATAATATTGTACGGGAACGTACGAACATGGTTAAATCGACTTCGATTAAAATTCAATATATCTTATGGAATCTGAAAACAAAAACTACTGTGCACATATCATTTAGAAATGAGTGTAAAAATACAAAGTAAATAAGTGTAATATTTTTTTTTGCTTTCATGCATTTATTACTTACCATCGCGTAGTGAATTTGTTGCCGTGCGAAGTTGCCGAAATATCATGAATATGTATGCACCTGATGCATTGAAGAAACAATACTAAATGCTTCAACGGTACTCTAAACGAACATTAGTATAACATATGTGAGAGCTACGCGCATAACGCAGAACAACACATGAATGAATAGGCCGAATTATTTTAGATTACAAAACATAGGCACATGCAGCTATCAGGGAGTGTGCTTGTGTGAGTGTTTGTTTATATTCTCAGTTTTTTTTTTTTCTTCTATTTTTTTGGCTCTTTCGCTTTATCTGTTGTACAACCCTTCTTCTTTTTTTTTGCTGTTGAATAAGTTTAAGTGTGAGGTGTATCCTTGTTATGTGTTACGTTATTTCATGATTTTTTAAGCAGCGACGTCCTTGCGACTATGACACAAGTAAAACATAAAAAAGAAAACTTGCACGTTAACACTGAAGAATTGGAACAAAAGCACATTAAATATGCTTGATTGAGCAGAGACAACACAACCGACGTCCATTGCACATACACATCTACATACAGTTAGGGCAGGGCGTAGAGCTTAAAACAGCATAAAATTACCTAAAAAAAATCATTTCATTTAGCCAAGGGTTAAGGGTAGAGATCGTTTTTTGCTTTTTGTTTGGCTTTAATTAATTTTTGCACTTGCTCCGCGCACTCATTCACGCAATGTATACCCAACGAGACAAGGAAGTAATTTTTCACTTAAGGAATATTTATTGTATTCATTTTCCTTTATTATACTTTACAAGAGTAGTTTTTCTTTTTTTTTTAACTCAACTACTATCACGATAATAGTATAACGCTACACTCACACCACATTTACAATGAATTAAAATACCAAGAGAATTAATAAATGAAATCCATTTAATTATTATATATAACACTCTGTACTGCTAAATTTAGCAAAATTTCATTCACTTCGAGGAGAAGACAAAACAAAAACGGTAAAACTTAGTGCCATTTAATAACATTTATAGTTATTTCAAATGAATTTCATAGTAAAAATTAAACATTCCCTTTATTTATTTTATTTAATTTCTTTCTGCTGCGCACACCGCCGTTTATAAACTAATACACTGTAATACTAAAATTATAAAAAAGATAAATCAGTTTATTAGCTGCAACTCTCATTCAAGGGTGTTGTAAAGAATTTTTTCTTGTATACACAACGAGCTCAAATGCACACATACATAGATTGCTTTTCTCATACAATATATTTATGGCAAGTCAGAGTTATTTCTTATTATTATTATTATTATTATTATTTTTTGATTTGGAATCGTAGAATTAAGGAAACTTTTGAAAACTGCAGGAAAATTTTGAAATATTTAAAAGTTTTTTTTTGAATCGCCGTTAAGCTTTTACATGGTTTTCATCTCACCTTCTTAATAAATTGTTAAAAGAAATGTGTATAATTTTTTTTTAAGCTAGTTACAAGCGCTCCACGCTTTATAAATTCTATTCACATCGCGTCTCCACTACATAATGAATATTTCAATTTGTTAGAATTAACTCTCAACTAGAGAAATGTGGTTAGTAAAAAGTAGTAAAAAAAATACAACTCAGAAACAGCTGTGTTTTAATTAACATAACTACAAATCTTTGATGCTTTTATTTCCAGTTTTTGTTACATCCTATTAGTATATTAAATAAGAGTAAAAAGGTGTAAACGCTACCCTGTATTGTAGAAATGTATTGAGTTTCTCTCATTAAAAATTTGCATTTGGCAGTGCTATTTTGATATACCGCTTTTTAATAGAGCATTTTTACAGTTCAAAAAATAATTCATAATGAGATACATTGGGAGAACCTATTATCTAGATTGTTAATAAGCATGAAAAGTGAGCATCGATGTAGCCACATCTGTTCTTGGCTTCATTTAGAAGGAATAACTCTCATCGCATTTCTTACTATTTTTTTTATCAGTAAAAAGCAGTAAAAACTTGTAAAAAATGGTAACAAAGAAATTTTTACGGAGATGTGCAAAAAATCGGCTGAGATATCGTAAAAGTTATGTTGCCATATTAACTAATTCATTGCTAAGTTAAAGCGAGAGAGACAGAGAAAGAGAGAGAGCATTTTAAAAAGCTCATATGTTTATTTTCTTCTCTTGCTTTACTTGTTAAAAAAACTGCCATAAACGTTGATTTAGCCAAACATTCATTGATATCATTTGGGCCGATTTGAGGTGGGAAAGTGGTATTTAAAATTTTATATATTTTTCATTATATAGCCTTTCAATTACTCTTCTAATATGTTGTGGTCTTAAAACGATCGCAATAGATATATTTTTTTAAATATCTGTACAAATTGAAAGAAAAAGTTGCTGTGCATTCATATATTATCAGCGCTTCTGTCTGCTACACATTAAATTTTTTCTTTTTGGAATAAACATGGAGCCGATGAATCTAGGAAGCCCAGGAAGCCCGGGAAGCCCTGCTAATAGCCCGTACCTTCCATCATTTTTCATGGGCGAGCCGCACACACCAACCACATCGCGTAATAACACTTTTTCACCTAACAAAGCTGTTGGTAGATCATTCGGTTTCACTAATTCACCTGGTGTAGCCAGTGGAACACAAGACAATAGTAGGTCAACACCAGGACAAAAAACCCTGTTCGGAGGTTATCAACAAACGCCAACATCAGGACAAAATACATCAAATTACATTGGGACACCAGTACAAAATCTTAATCCTAGTGTTGGTCCTCCTGTTCAAGATCTTTTTGACTCTCTACGCAATGAAAGACACCAAATTGAAACGCCATTATGTACGCAACAAACTAACTCGCAGCAGTTTGATAGATCATGTGTTGGACAGCGAAATATAAATTTCGCTTTAAATCAAAGTATGCAGCAGCAACTGGTTAATCTGAACGATTCTTTGTTGAGCAGTAACACTTCACGGAATTTATCACGCAGCAGTATTATGTCTCCAATAATGAGAGGAGATTCAACCGGTGCCAATGCAATGAATTTGAATACTTCTCACGCACTACTACAATGCGAAGCCCAAGCACGCTATAAAGAGTTTTGGGTTACTGTGTATGGTTTTCCGTCCACCGCCATCTCAACAATATTACAACACTTTTCCCAGTGCGGCACCATAGTGGATACAGGTAACGTGTTGTAGGTAATCTCCGCGAACGTAAACTATCCATCGTTTTATGTCAAATTGAATGAATGCTAGAGTCTTATAGAGTTTATTTTCATAGAACTTCCTACAGCTCTTGTTTAAATACGCATCGTTTCTTACACATTCAAATGGATGAAAAGAAGTTTAACGAATTTATTGTAGCTTTTTTTAAGAAGTAACTTTGTCTAAAAGCTTGAGAAGCAGTAACGCATAACTCATAATAATGAGTGTTTTTTAACAAACAATTAACAACTACTAACAAATTCGCTATTCGGGGCGCTGTTATTAATATAGTTGTTTATATTTTCATTTTTTCTTCTTCTACAGTTATGCCTTCACAAAATGGCAATTGGATACATCTTAAATATTCATCACGTCTTGAATGCGATAAAGCTCTCAACTATAATGAGAAAATATTGGCCAATAATATAATGATTGGCGTAACTCAATGCAAAGATAAAGATTTGTTTGATAAGGAGAATATATTCGATAATCCTGTGGAGTCTGCAAAAGTCCGACCTTTGGCTCAGGCAAGTTATAAAAATACTCAAAAAGATACTTGTGGACCGAACGACATCAGCAGTGTCCAAAAGAGTACTGGTATTGTAGATAAAGCTTTAGATTTATTTTTTGGATGGTAAAAAATTGCTGCATATCGGATGTATTTTTTTAATTAATTAAAGATGACGGTAAACAATTTCTACAAGAAATCTAAAAAACTATAAAGAATTGATTAAATTAAAAAAAAATATATTAACTAAACCATTTCGCTTAAAGTACTCAAATTATGACAAATCATCTGATGGATAGTCACGTACGAAGATTGTCACGCTCCTCCAGGTTTTCAGCAGTTTTCGTTAAACAGCTGATTGCAGAAATGAAAGCTAATGCTTGTTTAAGTGATTACATTGTTGTTGAATACTTATGAAGAAGAAGAGAAGCAAATTGAATGTGTTTATTATCGAAATAAAGAATAATATAAGGAATTAATAACAATTATTACGAATTGTTTCTAATTTTTAAACTAACACAGTTTATCTATGAAAACCAGAACAACAGTGCAATTAAATATTGTCGGGAACAAGTATACGCTCTAGTTTGTTTTATTAATAAGATCTTTACATTGGTCTAGCAAAGTGAAAAGTAAAAAATAATAGTGTATAAGTAAAACTGTCGGAATTTGTAAGCTGACAAATGCAATGAGTGCACAAAAAGTACCTCCACTGACGTATAAAATTATAGCCGAATGCTCTGTTTCAAAAGCGAGATCTGGCATTATGTCTTTGCGTCATAGCGATGTCGAAACACCAGTGTTCATGCCCGTTGGTACCACTGGGACTTTGAAAGGTGTCTTGCCTGATCAGTTATTAGATTTAGACTGTAAAATATTACTAAGTAATACTTATCATTTGGGCTTACGTCCTGGTATTGATATATTGGAAAAGGCAGGCGGTTTACACAAGTTTATGGCTTGGCCTAGAGCTCTACTTACGGACTCTGGAGGCTTTCAAATGGTTTCACTTTTGAAATTGGCTGAAATCGATGAAAACGGTGTTAATTTTCGTTCTCCATTCGATAATTCTGAGTGCATGTTAACACCAGAACATTCCATTCAAATTCAAAATGTTATCGGGGCTGATATTATTATGCAATTGGATGACGTGGTAAAAACAACAACTACGGGGCCCAGGTAAATATTCAAAATGACATTTCGATTTTCAAAACTTTGATAAGGGTCGCCCAATTTAACAAAATGCGTCCTCAATTTCTCACTTTAAGAGAACTGAGACCTCAATTTTCTGTTTAACATATAAACCATGATTTTTTTCGTAATAATGTTGGAATTAATAGCTTTATTATAATAATACCTTTTTCATTATTTATCATAAGGGTAGAAGAAGCTATGTACCGCACCATCAGATGGGTGGATCGTTGTTCAGAGGCTCATAGTCGCGATGAGGAACAAAGCTTATTTCCTATCGTTCAAGGTGGTCTCAATCCAGAGCTAAGAAAACAATGTGTAGCTGGTTTGCTGGAACGGCCGGTAAGAGGTTATGCAGTCGGTGGATTAAGTGGCGGTGAAAGTAAAGATGATTTCTGGCGTACCGTGAATATCTGTACAGATCTCTTGCCTAAAGATAAGCCACGCTATTTAATGGGTGTCGGCTTTGCAGCCGATCTTGTTGTCTGCGTTGCCTTGGGCATTGACATGTTCGATTGCGTTTTTCCCACTCGTACAGCTCGTTTTGGCTGTGCCTTAGTAATATCGGGTCAATTGAATTTAAAGCAAAAGAAATATTCTTTAGATATGCGTCCGATAGATGAGAAATGTGATTGCAGTACGTGTAAAACATACACGCGTTCCTATCTTCATCACATTGTCACAGTGGAACCCGTAGCCTGCTCATTGCTCACTGTGCACAATATCAGTTTTCAACTAAGACTCATGAGACAAATGCGTTCAGCTATACAAAAAAATGAATTTCCAAAATTTGTACAAGAATTTATGATAAAACATTTCGGAAATGATCCCATACCAAAGTGGATAACAGAAGCTATGGCGGCTGTAAACATTCAACTGCTAGAAGATAAAGATTTAATGAATGAAAACGATTTGACTTTAAGAAATTGAAAATAAATCTTTTCGTATATATATATATATTTTCAAGAAAAAAAAAATATAATACACTACTGGAAACACAAACAACATGCTGACTCGATTCGATTCGATTTGATTATATAAATATCATGCATGGTATTATTAACATTATTTTTTAAATTTAGTAGCCGATTTTGTTTTGCTCGATGTAGATGTAGACTTCTTATTACTTGAAGCTTTAGTAGAATTTGATGAGGAACTTGCTGCGGTTGACTTCTTTTTTACCTTTAAATTTATTTACAATCATTATATGATTATATGAATTCCAAACAACAACTTACCTTTACCAAGCCATCATTCTCCAAATTATCGTCTTCTTTTTCTTGCTCATCTTCATCGTCATGGGATGCCAATGTTCCTTCTCCGCCTTCTTCATTGTTATCTGCATCGATATAATCCAAATCATCGCTTGCTTCCGAACGTTTCTTTTTCATTCCTGCCCCAGCACAGCTGTAGCTGTAGGCTAGTACTTCTTTATTATATGATCGAGTTAAAGCCGCTTTAACCTTGCTGTCCACACTGTCCATTGGACTTTTCTTCCCCGGCCACGTTGTCAATTCAATTAAACTATCCAAATCTTCTCGCAGTAAATGATATTCCTTAATAGTGTTCAGAGATTCGTTGACACCATCTAACCCGTGTTCTTTCAACGGATGAATAATTTTGTGAAGAAGAAACGCTGCATAATCTAAACGTATAGATAAACGTGAACCGGAAGTTCTTATACGTGTATGGTCGTGTATCTCTTGAGCTAAACGGCTACGTTTAGAAGTTCTGGAATTTTTACCCAACCATGCTGGGAAATTTATTTGCCCCGTAAAAGAGCCCTTCATATATTCACCAGGGATTACCGAACTAAAAACGGCTTGAGTGGGTAACAAAGACCAAGCCGACTGGGAGCGTATACGTCGATCTACTAAATCGCTTAAACTAAGGGCATCAGCAGTTAAAGCAACTTTTTCAATAACTTCGGATCTAAGGAAAATATATATGCTTTAGAATCGGTAAATGAAAAACTTTAAAGAATTCCCTCACCTGGGTCCGACTGGATTGACAATAAGATAATTCTGTTGAACGAAAAGTGGAGCTAGACTATAATCGTGAAAAAATAAATCGCATTTGTCATTAAAACTCATTGTTTTATGTTCTTCGGCTGAAAACACTTTGCGAACCACCTCCCAAGGACCCTAAAGAGAATCGAATTCTTTCAGTAATAATATTTCTTTAATGGATATTTCGTCTTATGACTTACCATTTTCAAGTCCTTTTGAGCCACTTTTCCAACATTGCTCTTTGCTTCGCTTGCAGCGGGTAATTGCAATCCTTTGTCCGCACTTAACAAAGCAATATGATTAATAGATTGACGTATATCATTATTTGTTGCGGTGATAACTTCTTCAATTTTTGTTGCATCCAATTTCAAGTGTTCCTTGGCGCATATACTCAGAATGCAACCTTTGATTTGCCGTAATTGTGGCCGATTGAAACGTAAATCATAGCAATAATTAACTAAAGAACGTATCTTAGGATGGTTTCGATCGTTACACATGCATATAATTGGTATTGAGCTATTTTTAATTAAGCCAATTAACTCTTGAATACCGCCACGATCTTCATTACCAGCCATGCCATCAACTTCGTCCATAATTAAAACATGCTTTTTAGTCATGGCCTGAGAAGCACCATGAAAGTAACCATGCAAAGATTTATTTGATAGTAATTCGGAAACTTCCTCTTTAAGTAAACGTTTGCTCCGCGTATCCGATGCATTAAACTCCACAATATCGAAGCCTAATTCCTTGCAGACTAAGTTCGCGGTTGTTGATTTCCCTTATAAAGGAAAATGACATGAATAAATTTTGCAAAAAAAGAACTGGAAAGATTCCCGGCAAACATATACCTATGCCTGGCGGGCCTGAAAGCAAAGCAGCCTTGTAATAACTGCCATCATCGTTTTTGGCCCAGGGGTTTGGTTTTTGTAAAGCTTTTTTTCCAGTACGATTTTCAAACCATTTCCTTAACCAATTAAGTAACCTTGAATAAAGAGACAATAATAAAGCGTAAAGTTAAAATTGAAGTTTTGTTAATATTTAAAGCGGATTTCAACCTTCAGACATGAATTTAACGAAGACGTAAACGACTCGTGCAAATATCTATGGCGATACTCGAAATGAGCTCGGCAGTCTGGAGCACTTTTAATAGATATTAAGATATCCTTGTACAGGGATTTAAATCGACGTCTCTTGTAGATTACATGATACCAAATTTCTTCTATAGGAAACCTTTATAGGCGGATTTTCACTAAATATGTAAACGATTCTCGCACACATCTGTGCCGGTCTTTGGAATGAAATTATACTAGGCCAAGACATACTTTCAAGCTTGATTTCAGCTTGGCAGTTTAGTTTTTCCCATCTTGAAAGTTCCATTAACAGACACGAACGGACAGACAGACAAGTTTATATCAAAAATGTGCATATTTCTTTATGCTACAAGGAGAAGAGCAAATTGTATTAAGCCCTATCTTGCAGTGGTGGATATACCAATTAAATTGCGCAAAACTCACTTATTAACATTGCTGCTTGGTCCTTGCTGGCCCACAATATCCTTTATAGATGAAGGTTTATATTTATCTACCCAAGCCGTGTTATCTTCAGTTATCTTACTTTCCTGTCCACTCAACTTCAATTTCATTTCATTATTCTCGACTTTCACAAGGCATGAATCCGGTACGGACATTATTTTCTTTTTTACTGGTGATATCTTTCCCCCCTCTGTAGCTGCTATCTTATTAGGACTTTTAATTGCTTTAAATTTTCCACTTTGCTCTGCGGCAAATTTCGGTACCGTTCCATAATTCTCATCCTTTAGATGATGTGAAGCAACCTTTGCCGACTTGATATTATTTTCTGGCATTAATTTTATTTTTCTTTTTGCTGGAGATTTTGTTTTAGTAACATTTTCAGGACTTTTATTCACTATCTTCTCTTTTTCTTTGCGAGTACCATTCTCTTTTATGTCCATTTTTCCGTTTAAATCGGATTTTTCACGTATTAAATCCAAAAATCCATCTTCACTGATAATTTGAATACCATTTTCTTCAGCTACAGCTAATTTTTTTGGGCCCGCGTCTTCGCCTACGATCAAATATTTTAAGCGTTTACCAACAGTCGTCATTACTTTGCCACCATATTCTTTGATAATATCCTCAGCTTCGGTGCGTTCCAACGATTCTAAAACTCCAGTTACCAAAAAAGTAAGTCCAGCCAAACAATCTGGCTTTCCCTTAAAGAAAAAATTTAAAAAAAAACATTAATCCCACATTTTATTTATGCAAATTAAAAAATAAATCAAACCTTTGGAATTTCTTTGCAACCGTGATTTAAAACTGAAGAACGATTTTTATACTTTTGATATAAGACGGCGGAAGCACGCTTGCGCTCGAAACGTTCCTCATCAGATAATACACCTATAAGGAAATTGCTTAATAAAAGGAATAACATTTCATGCAGTATATGGGAGCCACAAACTCGTTTCTATATCCATTGTTGATTTTCCGTTAGGCGTTTTTGAAGATTTCTCATTTTTTTCTTGACTTTTTGGTGTAGTTGGCTTCTGCTCTTTCTTATAGCGTTTCTCTATCGAATTATTGACATCTTTTTCCAAATCAATTTCCATTAAACTTTGATTGATTTGATCATTTTCAAGTTCGAGCAAACCAGCTGCTTTTGGTCTAGCGGGTTTTTTCATTGGTATACGTTTGGTTTCCGCACCAAACATAACCATAGGATCTACGACATTTTTTTCCTTTTTAGGTGACAATTTCAACGGTTTGCTGTTAAGTTTTGATAAATTTGGTTTCTTTGTTCCGTTACTAGGGGATTTATTATTCTTTTCTGTTTCCTCATTGCGAAATTTTTTAGAATTTTGAGTCCTTATCTCATTCTCTTCTTCATCGCTAGACACAACATGAAGGACTTTACGTTTTTTTGTTTTATTTTCTTCCTTTCTCTCCTCATTGGTAGATTGCGTTTTATTGATTTTCTTTGTTGAAGATGTGTCCTTTTTAAAGAACGACGCTATAGTCTAAAAAGGTATTGAAAAGTTTTATGTTAATCATTTTCATTATTGAGTTTTTAATACACACCGGCTGCATTTTATCACAATTAGTGTAATTAATTACATAAATAATTTAAATATTTTTACTCGACAAAAAATGACGCTAGTTTTATGCGACAGGGATACCAAATTCCTATAATCATATTGCGGTGATAACCAGTTTTTGGTGAAGTAATTTTGATATAAATAATACTTAATGAAACAATTCGTTAGCAACATTTACGCAACAAAAGACATCAAATATAAACAAACGACGCGAAACACCGTAAGAGAGAGGTAAAGAAAACTGAAATGAGAAAATTTACTGAAGTGTGAACTCTTATCTTTTCCATATTAAATGAAAAAGGAAGTAATTACGTGGAGGAGGATTTTATACGAAAAACGAAATACTAAATGTAAGGGTTCATTTTATAAGAAAATCGAACGAAATAATTTATGTGAAGGAACATTTGGTATGAAAACCTAAATAATTATATGAAAAACGAAATTATTTTGTGAAGAAAAATTTTATATGAAAAACGAAATATTAAACCTAAAGTTTTATTTTTTATGAAAAACGAACTAACGAACGAAATAATTATGTGAAAAAACATTTGCTATGAAAAATGAAATATTAAACCTAAAGTTTTATTTTGGGTGAAACACGAAACACTAAATCTGAAGCTCCGTTTTTATGAAGAACGCACAAAACAATTGATGTGAAGGAACATTTGAAATGAAACACGATATATTAAGCCTATAATTATTATTTTATTATTTTAATTTTAGACTAATGAATTGAATTCTTAGACTAAAAAAAGAGACATTGAGCACTAGCAACACAGGCTATCGGCTCTAATTTAAATAAATGGATATTAGATAATAAGCTTAGTAGTATTAATAAAGTAAAATATTGAATTCAATATATTAAGCCTAAAGTTTTATTTTGTTTAAAAAATGAAATCTTAAATCTAAAGTTATATTTTATATCAATAACGAACGAAGTGATTATGGGAAGGAACAGTTTGTATTAAAAACGAAATATTTCATTTTACATATGAATATGACCAAATTTTCATTATTTTTGAGATATTGTTCAAGAATTAAAACGCATTGCTCGCTTGTGCAGTGCTTCAGTTTTCGAGCTTTACACAATTCGACGGTTCACGCTAATCAAGAACAGAAATAAATGTTCTGCGAGGTCCTCAGATGGTATTTCACTACATTCAACTTATATTTATCAAATGTTTAGTTTACATTTACGGAAAGATATTTATTACAATAATAAAAAATAATGAACGACAAGTCTTGGAGATGGAACGAGAGCAGGTTCGTGGATGGATTTAGTTATGAAGTAGGTAATAAGAAGAAATTTTCAGTTGTCGTGATTTTGAGGAACGGAATCCATTAAGACATGCCGTTGTACATACATACATGTGTATATATGTACATACATGTATACCTTGTAAATATACATATACGTGTTCATATGAACACACTAATATATATATATATATATATATATAATGTATATATATAATATACATATATACGTATATGTATATATTTATATATAGTAAGTAAATATATATTAGGTACGTACATATAGGTATATATATGTAGGTATGTGTATATACACATGTAGGCTTACCAGGTAGATGTACGTACGTTATGTAGCTTTTACAATATCCGCTAAATGATATAAAAAGTTCAAAAAATCTTATGATAAATTACCATCTACAGTATTAGTAATTAAAACTAATGAACGCGAGCAACTCTTATCTACACACTTAGTTAAGTCATCAACCATTTATTTTTTCTGAAGCGCATACACTTATGTAGAGGTCGAGAATGCTTTTGAGCAGAAGATTGCGTATAAAAAACGTTTTCGCATTATAGGAAGTAAATTGGATTTGCAAAATATTTTTGATGTAATGAAATATGTATCTAATATGTACCAGCCAAAAAGAAAGCATTGGAAATCAAAGAACAAGAAGAAGAAGAGTGTATAAGCAAAGATTCATTCTTTTGTCTCAATTTCTCCAGCCCTGGGAAATAAGTATTCTTTTCCAGTATTAAGTTCGAAATAAGTATTCTTTTCCAGTATTAAGTTCGAAATAAGTATTCCCTGGGAGTTTGACTAGCATTTGATAGATGGACCGATAGAAGAACATAGTTGTGCTGGAATTTAAATCTACTTAAAAATGTATGCAAAATTTTGGATTGCTTTGGAGTGTGATACGTTTGAATGAACTTCGAATTTGTATAGTTTTATATGTAGGATCATTGTAGTCATATTGTGGTTTCCAAAGTAAAATAAGCCACGCTTCTGATTGCCGCTTTGGCGTAAAGAGAAAACATCTGAAATTCTTAAAGGACCTTGACGTAAACAAACACAATTTTTGGGATTGGTTTTTGGGTTGAGAATGTCGTTTATGAACATGAAATTGACATAGCAAAGGAGAACGTTAGAGAGAAACATGACAACCGACTCTTAGTGGCAAAAATTACATGATTTGCATTTGGAGAATGTGCTTCGATTTAAGCATGTACGTCTGTCCGTTTGTCCGTCTGTGTGTCTGTTCGTCTGTATAATATCTGCAGTAAACATTTTCCTGGCCGCAAAAATGAAGTCGTTGCCTTCATATTTGGCACTGCTTTTTTACTCTTTACTCATAAATTTTTGAAGCCATATTCTATCGGCGATGCTGCGGCATCTTTGCACAAGAATGGAAAACATTGACCACGCCTACCTAGTATTATAGCGAATCAAAATTTTATTGTTCTTTTCATATCTCCAGAAGGTGCAGGAACAAGCTTCAAAAACCCCATAAAGTGTACAAGTCGGCCGTTTTTCTGGCCGACTGTGTAACATTTGTGGTAAACGTTCTCCCGTTAGTGAAAATGAGTAGTAGTAGTCTATAAATGGTAAGAAAATGTGTAAGTGAGTCAAACTTTTCCAAGAACACGCATACAACGCCCTCACGCTTATACGGCAGTCGCGCTCCCTTCATATCATATAGCATAAAGGTTTGGTTTTTTTATTTTCCTTGCATTGCGGTGATGGGTATAAAAGATTCGGTCACGACCGAATATAATTTTCTTATTAGTATTGAAATAAAAATTGCATTAACCGATAGTTAAAAGAAACGAGAATTATATATGTATAAATATAAATAATTTTACATTTACAGGTGACGCAAATCGATGAAAAAATCATTTATGCCTCTCTCTTTTATTGGTGAGTACAAGAAATGTTTGGACATTTTTTAACTTGGCAAAAAGTTTAGCAAATCCGCTTAAAGAATCAATCAAAATTTATTAAAAAAAGTTAGTTAATTCTGCAAACCTAGTTCGACAAAAGCGGTAAAACTAGGTAGGCCTATGAAAAAAAATTCTGTTTTACGATGAATACGTTTTCCCGAAATAAATAGTAGGCAACTGGTTCTACTCATTTTTGCTCTGGAAATATCGGCGCTAAACGTAAACGAGGTTAAAAACCGGTATAAGTTTAATTGAACCTTTATGTCTGGATTATCATGTATTCAGACGTGATAGGTCCGATAGAAATCGGGTATGTGCTTCAATTCCTGCCAATTTGTTTTCTGTCTCTAATCCAAATAATGCTGCATTCACTTGCGTCCGTTTGAAATCCGCTACACATAATTTTTATATAACTTGCTCTTACACTCCTTCATCGTTTAATTCAGTTATCTATCTACAGTACGTCACTCTCAATTGGGAAGGTTTCCTCCGATGATGTTCTTATCACTCTGGGTGACTTCAATATGCCGACTTTATTGTGAAATCGCGAGCGTGAAAGTGGATTTCATATTCCGTGTTATTCGAAGGTTTATTATCGTTCTTTCTTCGAAGATATAGGGAACGTGGGCTTAATACAGCTAAATCTGGTATGCAATTCTAGTAACGCACTGCTGGACTTAGTATTTTTGAATGTAGTTGATTTATCAAATTCTCGCACCCGCCCCTTACTTCATCGGGAAGATTGTTTTCATCCGATAATCATTATATCTGGTCAAGATATATAATTAAGATTTTTTTAAAGCCAACCATGCATCTGTGTGTACTGAATTAAACAATTGTAGGAACGATCATCATTGCATTTCAGTTAGCTTGCTGCGCTTTATGGATATATGAATCCTTTCTTATTCTGTTTAATCCGAGGATATTGTAATTACTCTGATTAGTTTAACTTGCATTGGCTGTGTATTTAAATAAATAAAGACACGCGCCCTTCTGGTCGACCAATTATTGGTGGACAGGCGATAAAATTCTTTAAAAAACGGGAAGACCGACACTTTTAGTCTTATGATTTTACTGCGGAACTTTACAGTGAACAAAAAACATTATTGAACTGAAACGAAATCGAATCAGTTTGGCATAGTGAGCAGAAAAGAATGGTTTACGTGTAACAATAATGCTCGGAAAACATCATATTCCAGAATAGATGAAGTTAGACGAGCCGAGAAGAAACGACGATTGTCGCTTTGTGTTTACGAGAATCGATAGGAAATCGTGTGTCTTGACTTGCTGCAATCTGTTGGTGGAACGATTGATTCTATTCCTGACAACCAATGCGATTATGACCAGGAGTTAAGCTACAGTGCCTAGAATTGATCAATAGGAAAAGCGTACTCGTCGATGACGACACTGGTAGGCGACAGGTATCCTTAAGGGCTCGATGAAATGTGCAAGAAATGGGATGCTTTGTTGTGTTTAATGTACAGCTCGAATGTTGCCCCGTCCGTCTACCATTTATTTCGTTGTCTGTAGAACACTCTTAACGGTATAAAAGTAGCTTTGAAAAAATCCTGCGAAAATCGCTTTGATGAAATCCTAAAAGGCGTATACAAGCGTGCTATGAGGGTTTATTATGCAACACTCAGAAGGACTGGAAATAGACTCTCCTTTCATTATATATCCGTCCAACCTAGAATAACCTTCAACCGATTGATTCACAATCATTCTCTGAAACTTATCTATCCGTCCGTCCATTTTGTTTTTTTCTGTTAAATTTAGAACAACCCTCTGTTATGCCAATTGACAGTAGATCATTGATACCCATCTTTCGTTATGCCGTTTGACTCAAGATCACTTTCTGAAGCTTGTTTGTCCGTCTGCCCGTTTTGTGTTGCAACCTACAGATTGCAATTAC